AATAAACCCGCTATCTACGCTTTGTGGACTTTGTGGTAAATGTCTTTACTTTGCATGAATTTTGATTATTATGTGGAACTCGATCTAGCTGTGCCATCTGCTCAGTTAACCACTTTTTCAAAAGTATAATTTTATCATGCAAATCAAAGTTAATTAACCTATAATGAAAATTGAACTAACGCATTTGATGGTTGTTAATATAAAGTCTATAAAAATAATCCTAGGGTAGAATCATCATTTAAGTTTCTTGACTTAACTATGCGTTTGTTCTTTGTCTGACTCGACTCTCCGTTTTTGTGTGTTTGTTGTTATCGAAATTTCTTACCAAAAACAAAATTATCAGGTCTAAACAGCTGGCCAAATACTCCAGCTTTGACCGAATCCATGGTTCCTGGCTCCAAATCGACGAGGACGGCGCGGGGCACATACTTTTTCCCTACAAATTGAAAAGCATTTCATTACTCTTCTGCGATCTCCTCCGACGTTTTCAAATAAATAAAATGAAAATTGATTGTTTTTAATATATCTCACCCGTGGCCTCGTTGTAATAAACATTGATTCTCTCGAGCTGAACATCTGAGTCGCCGTTGTAGCTACCGAGAGCGTCAATTCCATGTTCATCTGAAATCACCTCCCAAAACTACAGGGAAAGATTGAGGAAAAATTTTTAATCCGACAACGGCGACGGCAAAGGCAACGTCGAAAAAGCAATAGGCCTAATAAGGGAGACAAAAACTCTCGGCACGTGCATCACGCTTTTTTGTATATTTCTTTGCCGTCACCGCAAGAATACAACATGAAATTGCCTTTTTTTCTGCGGCATTGCATCGACAGAATTTTCTTTGTCCTTTGTGAACTTAGATATGGTTCTTAGCAGTGTCTTATGAAGTGAACTCCAGGGAGCTTGCCTATATTTGACAAAGTGAGTTGGAATAATCGTGGTACTATCTAGGTTGGCGGAAGGTTGAAACATCCTGCTTTCTTGTTGATAAAAAATAACAAACAAAGCAACTACTTTGATTTTGATCCCTTCATTTCTGGCTTGTTAAAAAAAACACACTTGATAAGCGGCAGTCGTTTCAAATAACCTGATTGCGTATATATTAGCAGAAGTTACACGGACGAAAAAACTCATTACTCCTTCTCAAAGACTTTTACGTATTTTTTTCTCATAACAAATCTTAATTTTAGTGTTATCACATGTGTTGTAAACTGTAAGACGAGCCAAATGAGGAGCCCGCCGCATATGTAGGCAGCCAAATGTATGTTTGCAGAGTAATTAAGCTGGGGTGTTTTTAAAGCTCACCTTTGCCCCAATTTGATTTCCACACTGGCCAACTTGAAGATGAACGATTTCTCTCATAGTGACAAAGATTTCTCTCTCTCTCTTTCTTTCCAACAACGCTTCTTTGCTGGATTATGGTGGGTGTGCCTTCATGCATGAATTTTTAAATCTCAACAGAAAAAGCGCGCAAGTTATGTTTTTTCCACGCGTATGGTTTTTACGATTCTCTCATTGGTAAGTTTAACCAATTTTCTACAAAGTTATTTTAATAAAATATGCGTTGGACGCCTAATAATGCGACAGCTGGTTGGCATAAATAAATGAACATTTCTTTTGACTGAAAAGCCTGATTTTTGAAAATCATGATTTTGTGGTTTTGCTTTTCGATTTCTGTTTCAGTTGGATTCTCGGTCGATATTATTCAGTACTGTAATACAATAATGCTTCATACGATTAAACTAAGGTACGTACATAGAGGTATGAATGAAGTATTTGATGCCAATACAGTTCAATTTGAAAATTTTCAGGTTTGGCTGATGAACGAGTCCCACAGCTTCTCATGACTGTATAACGTGGTTCTTTTGTACCGCAAAGAGCTTTTATAGTTTATACAATGTGTTCTGTGTTCGGGCGGGGAACGTTTACGAAGACAAAGGCAAAGTTTTAACTGAGCAACGTGCAAACGGACGTAACATTGTTGGATGTTACATGTTGCGTCCGTTTGCACACCTTGTTGCATGTTGGGAATTATTGGACAGAAAGTTGAAAACCCGTCAAACTTTTAGCTTCGCGCAAACG